ATTATACCAATATTCCACACGCTGAGAAATAAATGTCATTGACTTGCAATACTTGTGATTTCTCATAAGAAAGAAGAAGAAGAAGCATCGAAACTCGAAAGAAAGAGAAAGATTTTGCATACAGCAACTACGCCTCAATCCCAAACAAGTGGTCAGCTATATGAATCCCCAGTTCTTCATTAAAGCTCATTTTCATATCCTCATCGTGTGCATTACCAGAAAATTCTAAGAAAAGTTTCAGCTTAGAATTTATGGAAAATTGAGCTTTGGATATTGAATAGTTAAATTATAAGGAAACAAGTAACAAGACTCATTGGCAGAGACAGTAGAGAAAACTAATGAAATAAGTTGTTTCTCCATAGATACAACTTTCTGTATATCCCTATCCATCAATAACTGAAACCCTTTACACAGCTCGTCTATCAAACCAACCCCACGTAATTTCTCATACAAAATAGGTAACAAATACTCATCCGTAGAGACAGTTGAGACAACTGATTAAACCTGTTGTTTCTCCATTAGTACAACTTTCTGTATATGTTTTTGCAATGTATTACATGTTTACATAGACGAAAGTATAAAACGACAAAAGTTACAATGAAAAGTTGAATTCTTGGTGATGAGATTCTTTCTAACAAAAACTGAGACTCTCAAATGTGATGACCCCTTCATCCCTATCCATCAACAACTGAAACCCTTTACACAGCTCGTCAATCGAACCATCCCCACTTAGTTTTTCTCATCCATATTAGGCAACAAATAGTTGAACATGATTACAATAATTCAGTGTATAACTATAAGAATTTTATCATAAAATGTGATGTTCTGCTCTTATCTCGATGAGATAATAGCCACAAGATTTTGCTGTCACTTAGAGTAGAACTGTATCAGATTGAAGTGTAAAATTGACAGCTATCATTTTATCAAACCAGCAGTGTTATTCTTGACCGGCATGTCTATTAGTTCATCAATGCAACGACTATGAAATGCCATTGACTTGGTCTTTACTGTAAGCTTGTTCTTTACTTCTGCGGATAGTGACTAGTGAGATACTGACTCATTGACCTCTCAACTCATTCCAATTACATATACCAATATTCCACACGCTGAGAAATAAATGTCATTGACTTGTAATACTAGTGATTTTTCATAAGAAGCATCAAAACTAGAAAGAAAGAGAAAGATACAACAACTACACCTCAATCCCAAACAAGTGGTCAGCTATATGAATCCCCAGTTCTTCATTAAAGCTCATTTTCATATCCTCATCATGTGCATTACCAGAAAATTCTAAGAGAAGTTCCAGCTTAGAATTTATGGAAAATTGAGCTTCGGATATTGAATGGTTAAATCATAAGGAAACAAGTAACATGACTCATTGGCAGAGACAGTACAGAGAACTGATGAAATAAGTTGTTTCTCCATAGACACAACTTTTTGTATATCCCTATCCATCAATAACTGAAACCCTTTACACAGCTCGCCTATCAAACCAACCCCACGTAATTTCTCAGACAAAATAGGTAACAAATACTCATCAGTAGAGACAGTTGAGAGAACTGATTAAACCTATTGTTTCTTCATTAGTACAACTTTCAGTAAACGTTTTTGCAATGTATTACATGTTCACATAGAGAAAAGTATAAAACGACGAAAGTTAAAACGAAAAGTTGAATTCTTGATGATGAGATTCTTTCTAACAAAAACTGAGACTCTCAAATGTGATGACCCCTTTATCCCTATCCATCAACAACTGAAACCTTTTACACAGCTCGTCAATCAAACCATCCCCACTTAGTTTTTCTCATCCATATTAGGCAACAAATAGTTTAACATGATTACAATAATTAGGAAAACTGAAAAAGTACTCTGAAGAGAACTGATTAAACAAGCTGTTTCTCCATTAATTCAACTTTCTGTATATGTTTTTGCAATGTATACATTAGAGTTAAGTATAAAAGACAAAAGTAACAATATAAAGTAACAATCTTTATATTTAAATGTTAGAATGAAAAGTCAGAATCAACAAACTCTTGATGCAGAGCTTCTTCTAACAAAAACTGAGATTGCTCCATCAACTCAGGACTCAATCTGAACATCAACACACAAAACTCCATCTGATTAAGAGCTCCATCACCATCAAAATCCCCTTCTTTAACCATACCCTTAAGATCATCATCACTCAAATCTTGCAACCCTAACAAAGCTGAATTCTTCTTTAAACTCTCAAATGTGATGACCCCTTTATCCCTATCCATTAATAGCTGAAACCCTTTACATAGCTCACCTATTAAACCATCCCCACCAAGTTTTTCAGCCATAAGAGGCAAACAATCATTGAAATTGGATTTTCTTGAAGTAGAATTAGCCATTGAAGAAAGTGTAAATTGGAGAAATGAATGAAGAATTGATTGTGTTTGAGGAAAAGGGTGTTGGAGAATATATATATAGGAGAGATTTGGATGGTGAAGAGGGGCTTCTGGGAAGGGGAAAAGCCATAGGAATACAACTAGAAACAGTGAGCTTAACGCGAAGTTGCTTTTTTGATTTGAAGAAATTGCCACCCAATTTCGATATTTTGTTCCTTTCCTAACTATTAGGGGTATTTTCGTCCTTTTGAATTTTATTTTTGAAAAAAATTTAATTTATTTTTATTTTTATATAGTCATTCGATATACGAAATTCACTTTATCAGTTATTCAGAAAAGAGAGGCTAATTAGCACTTTCGAGGTCGTAGGAAATAGTTATTGGATCATATTCATCTATAAGAGATGTTAATTAGTCCGTTAATTTAAAGAAAAATTACCTAAGTAAACAACTTATTTGATCATATTCTCTAAAATTTCCTACCATTTTATAAAATTACAAAAATGCATATCCTCGGATACATCACTTTATGCGATGTATCGGGACGTACGTGATGTATCAGAACGTTGTATCGATCGGATACATCACTTTACGCGATGTATCTTGACGTTGAGTGATGAATCTGAAACTGAGATGCGATGTATAGAGACGTTGAAGGATGTATCTGAAACCAGGACGCGATGTATCAGGATGTTTTGGGATGTATATGGATTCCACCAAATTTAAGGAATTTTTGTAATTTGAAAAAGAGTAAGGATGTGATGTAATTAGCTCTTAATACTATGAAATTTGTGTAAAATTCCCTTAGTTTATTAGCATGTTCTCATCCTAAGCACAAAATATGCTATGCAAGAATATTTGAACTGTGGAAAAAGGAAATACATTCACTTCATGAAGATTTTCGATAATTGATAAGACGAGTCGTGATGTGTTTATATCTACTTTTGTTAAGAAAAAACCCACAAATCTTCCAAACTATTATAAAAAAAAATTTAGTGAAGGATCAATAACACATCTCAAGTATCCGGAATTTGTAAGTTTTCATCTCTAAACTATCAAGTATATGTATATGAATTTCTTATCTAAACTATCACCAAATATTTATTACAGTTTGCAATTCAACATTGGATTTAATTAGGATTTTTGGATTAGATTATTTTATAATATATATTGGAAAGCTTTTACTTCATGCTGAATCAACTGTTTTCCACAAATATAAATATATATAAAATGAAAAGCATTTATTAATTCCAAGTTTACTGACCAAATCAAAGTCAAGGTAATTTGGTGGATAATTTTCAACAAAAATCTTCTGGCACACTATTTAATTATTTAATTTAATTCCCCGTAATCACGTTCGTCATGATTTTTTCAATAGAAAAGGAAAATTATCGTATTTATTTAAATTATATTTTTTATTTGTGTGAAATGGTTAAAAAAGTATTGATATTAATTAATATTATATTTGTCATTTGTGTGAAATGGTTAAAAAGGTATTGATATTAATTAATATTCACGTTGCTATCCTGAGTGGAATATGACTTAATTTATATAGTAAAAAAAAAATCCTTTGGTGCAAATAGTGCTAATTCAACGCATGAATAAATGTGATTTTGACAAAGCCTAACTTTAGTCGTTGCGCTTATTTCGTTTAGATGTGGATAGATTTATAAACGTAGGCATGACTTAAAAACGATTTCAGAATCAATTACATACGTATTTATTTTAAATAGTAATCCTTTTCTTTGTTTGTTCTTTTGTACTTTTATTCTTTAGAGTTTGATTTGTGACTTAAAGTTTATAAATTTTATGACAAATTAAAGTTAATATACAGTAATAGTTGAGCTCGCAATCAAATATTTCTAAAAAATCTATTGGACGTCTAAATTAGCCTAAGAGAAATCATCGACCCTTATGACATATGTAGAGTTACCATTCTACTTACAGATTCGATGAATTTTGTATTTATGAAATTTATTAAATATATACAAATAATTTATTTTATACCTTATAAAATATATATATTTCTTAAAATTAATAATCTTTCAACTTAAAATTTTAGCTTCTTGACGAATGGTCTTTTGTTGTGTGAATTGCCTAATTAGTCTTAATCATTTTTAATTATCAATTGGACCCACAAAAATATTGCAATTTTGACTTTTGTCGGTCCTTCTAACCCCACTCTCACCCCCTCCAAATCAAACAAAGATATTCGAATTTTGAAAATAAAATATTTTAATATAAAAAATGTGTTATTCTAAAATTGAAATTTCTCGGCATAAATTTAAACTAATGAAATAAATTGTATTCGTGCCCCATGTACAGAAGCGGAAGCAGGATTAAGAATTTGAAGGCTCTAAATCTAGCGTGAAAAACATGTCCACGATTCCTTCCTTACCACTGAACTGTCAATCAATTTTATTAGATTTGCAAAAAAGCTACTGAGTTCATCCGAACTCACGAACACTCCCCTAGCTCCGTCCTCTACCATGTGTGAACTTCTTTTAACTACTCTTGACCATAATACTTGTTAATTGGTCCAACAACAAGATCAAAAATAGTACTACCACTACAAATCACCTGTCTAATACAACAAAATTTTCATATTTTGAATCTTGATTTTCATAAAAAAAAATGAACAAAATTTTCTTGTTTCTCTTTACAATTTTATCCTTATTCCAAAAAATTAACTCTCAAAGTGACACATTAACAACTTCACAAATTCTCAAAGATGGTCAAACAATAATTTCATCAGATGGAACATTTGAATTGGGATTTTTTTCTGCAGGCAAAAATAGTTCATCAATAAATCGTTATATTGGTATTTGGTACAAAAAGATTTCAGCTTTTACACCAATTTGGGTTGCAAATAGACAAATTCCAGTAAAGGGTATTTCTGGAATCTTGAAAATTGTTGAACCAGGTTATCTTGTTTTGATTAATAATGTTACTAATGACACTATTTGGAGTACTAATTCTTCAATAAGTGTGAAAAATCCAGTTGCTAAGTTGTTGGATACAGGGAATTTTGTGGTTAAAGATGCAAATGATGATGAGTTGTTGTTGTGGCAGAGTTTTGATTATCCTAGTGATACTTTGTTAGCAAGTATGAAACTTGGAAGAGATTTGGTGACTGGGTTGGAAAGGTAAGTTCTTGAATTGTGTTATCGTCTGGTTTAAAAGATTAAGTTGTTAGAGTGAGTACGCTTTGTGTCGGTGTTTTTTCTTTTTTTGGTCTTTGAGTTTGTAATGGCACAACTGTCGAGGTATTGTCTGCTTTGGCCCGACTCTCTAGGCCACCTTATGGTTGGGTGACCGGCTTGGAAAAGTAAGTTTTCTTATGGTTGGGTGACTGGCTTGGAAAAGTAAGTTTTTGAATTGTGTGAACTGTCTCATTTAAACGATTAAATTGTTAGAGTGAGTACGCTTTGTGTAAGTGTTTTTTTTTTGGGATAATGGGTGGTCTTTGAGTTTGTAATGGCACAACTGTCAAGACAATCTTGGCCCGACTCTCTAGGCCACCTTATTGTTGGGTGACCGACTTGGAAAGGTAAGTTCCTGAATTGTGTGATCATCTCGTTTAAAAGATGAAGTTGTTGGAGTGAGTACACTTTGTGTAAGTTTTTTTTTTGGGGGGGGATAATGGGTGGTTTTGAAGTTTGTAATGGCACAACTATCAAGGTATTGTCGGCTTTAGCCCGACCCTCTAGGCCACCTTATGGCTTGGAGAGGTAAGTTTTTGAATTGTGAACTGTCTCGTCTAAAAGATGAAAGATTAAGTTGTTAGAGTGAGCACCGTTTTATTTACTTAATTGTATTTTCAACATGTCTGAGTATGTGTAAGGTGTTTTTTTTTTTTTTTAATGGGTGGTCTTTGAGGTTGTAATTGGTAAGATACAACTGTCAAGGTATTGTTTGCTTTGCCGGACCCTATGGGCCACCTTAAGGCTTTTGGGGGCTTATGGTTTGGTGACCGGCTTAGAAAGGTAAGTTTTTTGAATTGTGTGAGTCATCTCGTCTAAAAGATGAAAGATTAAGTTGTTAGAGCAAGCACTGCTTTATTTACTTAATTATATTTTCAACATGTCTGAGTATGTGTAAGGTGTTTTTTTGATAATGGGCAGTGTTTGAGGTTGTAATGGGTAAGATAAAATTGTTAAAAATGTCAAGCGAGAGAACACACTTTTATGTACTTAGTTTAATTATGTCTGCAACAACAGGTATCTTAGGTCATGGAAAAGCGACGATGATCCTGCTCCCGGGGATTATACATATCATTGTGATCCTACAGGTTATCCACAGGACCTTATGAGAAAAGGTCCTAATGTAGTTTATAGAGCCGGGCCATGGAATGGTCTTAGATGGAGTGGAGCACCAAACATGGTGAACAACTCGATCACCTCTTTCGGCCTAGTCATGAACAATCAAGAAATTTACTACAAATACGAACTAGTAAATAAATCCGTGCTTACTACTTTAGTGCTAACACCTAATGGTGATGCGATGCGTATGATTTGGTTAGAAAAGAGAGAGGGTTGGGTTAATTACCATTCCGTGGATGCAGATCATTGTGACACTTACAAATTGTGTGGTGCATATGGCACTTGCACAATCTTTAGCGATCCTGTGTGTCGTTGTTTGGATAAATTCATTCCAAAACATCCGGATGATTGGGACAGAGCTGACTGGTCAAGTGGTTGTGTCCGAAATCATCCATTGAATTGTTCAGAAGATGGATTTATAAAGTATTCTGGTGTTAAATTGCCAGATACTCGGGATTCTTGGTTTAACGAGACTATGACACTCGATGAATGTAAGTTAGTTTGCTTGAGAAATTGTTCATGTATGGGATATACTAATCTGGACATCAGTAATGGAGGAAGCGGGTGCTTGCTATGGATTGGGGAGCTCGTTGACCTCAGACAGCTATCGGAATCAGGACAGGATATCTATATTAGGATGGCTGCTTCTGAGATAAGTAAGTTAGACGTTGATGCCATTGAATTGATTGATCGATGTTAGTGTTTAAAGCTATAGTAACGGGTACTAAATAACTATCTAATCATTTCGGATGGGAACTTTTGCAGGTCCTATCGATGGATCAAATCGAAAGAAAAGAGTTATACTTGCAATTGCTTTGCCATTATCGATTGCAACAGTTCTTCTAGTGGTTGGAGTATGCCTGATTCTTCGTAGACAGAAAAAGAGGGCGGAAACAATGCTCATAGAAAAAAGTAAGCTAAAACATAACAAATTCGAAGTAGATAATGTCATTTCTCGCTATGATTTGCTCTTCTTTTCAGCTTTGCTGTCTGAAATGTCGACTTGTATGAAAAATGTTGTAGGGAAATTGGATGACAACAATAACAAAGATAAAAACAATCAAATTCGTCGTGAAGCTTTGGAGCTACCACTCTTTGACTTGTCCACAATAATGGAGGCTACCGATAACTTTTCACTTGAGAACAAGATTGGAGCAGGCGGCTTTGGGAAAGTTTTCAAGGTAAGTATTTCCACAAAGAAGCAACTTTTATTTACGTAATAACACTCGTTGTCTCAATTTTTGGGTCGAACTAATCCATTGACACAATTAGTTCATGGGAGAAAACTGAATCGATTCAATTAAAGGAATCATGATTAGTCATTGGTTGGGCTAAGCAATGCCACTTGATCATTATCAAACGTGCTCTATATAGAGAATGCATAGACGATATTGAAAATTTGAAAATCCATGTCACTTCTTTTATCATTACGAATATCAATATGTATGTCAGTGCCATAATAGAATGATTAAGAAGTTGTGAGCCTAATTCTGCTGATGTCGATTGGTGAACAAAAAGCAGTGAATGGAACACAAGTGATACTCTTTGATATGATTAAAGTATTTCCATTTCTGTTTTGGAACTTCTAACGGTAAGTGCACGTTTTCAGGGAGTGCTAGAAGAAGGACAGGAAGTAGCTGTCAAGCGGCTCTCTGAAACGTCCAGACAAGGAAACGATGAGTTCAAGAATGAAGTCATCTGCATCGCAGAACTTCAGCATCGAAATCTTGTGAAGCTTCTTGGATGCTGCGTCGAAGAAGAAGAGAAGATATTGGTGTACGAATACATGCCCAACAAAAGCCTGGATTTATTTATCTTTGGTTAGTTTTGCACATGAAACGCAAACCGGTTCATTCAATACATCAACTAGTTTTGATATCAGTGACCTCTTATTTAACTTATATACACTGACGGTGTAAATCTTCTGGCAGATCAAACAAGGAGCACATTACTTGATTGGCCTAAGCGTTTCAACATCATCAACGGGATTGCTCGAGGACTTATGTACCTTCATCAAGATTCTAGGCTAAGAATCATCCACAGAGACCTTAAAGCTAGTAATGTCTTACTTGATTTTGAAATGAACCCAAAGATATCAGATTTCGGGATGGCCAGAAGTTTTGGAGGGAACGAGACGGGAGACAATACAAATCGAGTGGTTGGAACATAGTAAGATTGTCAAAATTTTGTGTCATTACATGCTATTTTGTTGTCTAGATTATGTAATCGTGTGAATGATTTTATGCAGTGGTTACATGTCCCCGGAGTATGCAGTCGATGGGATTTTCTCAGTAAAATCAGACGTCTTTAGCTTTGGCGTATTGATACTAGAAATTGTAAGCGGAAAGAAGAACAGAAGATTCATTCATCCGGACCACAATCTCAACCTCATTGGACATGTAAGTACCATACTCCAAGAATATGTAAATTTCATTCTCGACATTATTTGACTCGTAGCCAGAGGAGAAGCTAGGTGGGGGTTCGTGGTTTCGGACGAACCCAGTAGCTTTTTCTGTAGACCCTGTATTTGTACTAGAAAATTAGTTAAATATATATGTATATTAATCTGTGAACCCCTAACAAAATTGATTGACAGTTCTAAAGGAAATTTAGAACCCCCAAAATCTTAATCCTGGCTTCGCCTCTGCTCGTCGTAGCCAAGAAAGTATGCATGAGTCAATGATATTTTCTTGACTGAGGTTTAGCGGAAGCATTTGATCTTTGAATAACTCGGAGGAACTACTTTCTCTCTTCACTAACTTTCACACTCTTGATTTATTCGTCATTAGTGGAAACAAAGACTCGTTTTGGATGTGAATTTGTTAGCTAAAACATGTTAAATTTTCAGGCATGGATGCTTCATAGAGAAGGAAGATCATCGGAAATAGTCGATCCTAACTTGGTTGAATCATGTCATACATCTGAATTGCAACGATCGATACACGTAGGATTGTTATGTGTTCAACAAAGTCCAGAGGACAGGCCAAACATGTCTTCTGTGGTTTTAATGTTGACAAATGAAGGCATTTTGCCACAACCAAAACCACCAGGTTTTTTCACAGAAAGGAACATAGATGATGCCACTGGATATTCATGGAGTGACCAAACACCTTGTTCTGTCAACGATGTAACCATCACTTTGTTGGATGCTCGATAGCATGTACACAGAATTTTGTGCAAGCAGTATCGACCTATTGTCACAGTTTTACTTCCTTGTGAATTGCTCCTAACTTTTACTTTACACGATATAGACAGTAGCGTACACAGGATTTTGCATAACCAGTATCGGCCTACTATCACAATTCGACTTTTATTTCCTCACGAATTAGTATTTACAGTGTATTATACTAGTGTAAATGACCTCATACCCCACTTATGAGACTACGCTGGATAAATTGTTGTTATAGTGTATTATGATTTATGTATATGCATATTACTTTTAAGGAAACATTGTTTACACACACTATATAAAGTTTTTTTTTTTTTTTACGAAGTAGTGTCAGATGACATCTATTATGAAGAGTGTCACTGCCATCCTCCATCCACCATCACTTTGCTGGACGCTCGATAGAGATAGTAGCGTACGCAGAATTTTATGCAAGCAGTATCGACTTATTGTCACAGTTTGGTCAACAAAAAGACTTTGAAATCAGTATCAATCAATTGGCATGCTTGCCATTGAAATGAAAATAATTTTTTTTTTTTAAATAGAAAAAATGCAAATATAGACAAAAGAACTGTGAAAAACAAACAAAAAGAGGCAACTAAATAAAATTAGCCCAATTGAAATTGACAGCACTACACACATGGAAAAATATCGAAAATTGTATGGTTGAATTATTTCAAATATTGAATATAATCTTTATTACTCACGCATAGGAAAAAAATAGGAAGGAACAAGAATATTTTATTGATAACTAGTATTGGTACAATTTTGTTCCTTGCTTGAGTCTTCTCTCTGAAATTTTTCGTGATTCAAGGGCTGTTAGTAGCATATTTCTCGAATGTGGGAGACCATATTTTGATCAATATCCATGAATTTATGAAATTTTTGAGATGCCTCTCAAGGAAACATATGGAACTTTTATATAGACATGAGCTTGAGTTTAGGGTAAAGTATCCTTCAAGAATCATAATTGAAATAAATCTAACTCGTCTTATAGAATTCTACAAAATTTTGATATCTACCGTCATATATGCAAATCTTTTAAAAATAGAGACAAAATCTAAATAATAACCTAAAAAAGAACAAGTGCATAAATAAAAAAAATCCATCAAAAGTCAATGATTGGGGGAGGAGGAAAAGACTAGGAGGATGAAGAAGATCTAGAGGGGATGATTTTGTTCTGTAGAGACTAGGAAGTCAAAGGTGTACAACTTTGAACAATTCATCTTTCTTCACATTCTATTCTAATTAAATATGTTTTTTTTAATAATTAAGTTAATTCACTATTAAAAAAAACTTTCAAAAATTAATCTTTTCTTTTAAAAAATAATTAAAAACGAAAGGTCGATTTCCTAAATTGATTTTTAGCATTTTTAAAATGGTGATGTATATTAGAAAATTATTTTTTGAGGTAATGATGGGAGGTGAGCGATAGAGTCAAATATGAGATATTTCAAGAATTATTAGTTGAAAAGAAATATTAACAGATTATATATATAAATTTTTGACATGAGTGCAAGAAAAAAGTCATGTTCTTTTTAGTGGAAATTATTTTTCTAGGGTTAGACAAAAACATTCATATGGTAATCACTACTAGAAATGATAAAATTACTACTTTTCATGTCCCGTTTTAATTGTCGTTTTACATATTTTTATGTTTATTAAGAAAAATGAAATATATATAATTTATTAAGTTATTCCTATTTATTGACAAGAATATAACTGAAAATAATTGTTAACTTTAGTCTAAAATTTCTAAAGTGACAATTATTTTGAGATATTTTTTTTAAAGCTAAAATGACAATTAAAATGAAATGAAGGGGGTGATTTTTACTAGTTAATTATTCTATCTATTTTATTTTATGAGACACGATTTGACTGAACATGATAATCAAGAAAGAAAATACTCCTTTCGTTTCATTTATTTATATTAGTTTGACGTGGCACAAAGTTTAACCATGTAATAAATATATTAGAACTTGTGGTATTAACTTAAAAGAGTGTTTATTTACATATCAAAAACAATGCTTGAATTTTATGATCTTTAATATGTCATTTAAATTCCTTATAGAATGACAATTTAGGGTATAAATATTGACTTAAAAACTTACTAAATAAAGAAAGATGAATTCTTTTGATGAAAAAAATTAGATTTTTGAAATTTCTGGTCTCAGATATGTCACAATATATTCGTGGCTATAAAATGCATTGTTAAGAATAGAGATAATGGTAAAAAAAAACACCTTAACTATCACATTTTTACAAATTTCACATCTTAATTATCCGTTGTTCTCTTTTTTCTGCCGAAATTAAAACACAATTTAAACGATGCTAATAGTAATAAGAAAAACTTAATATTAAATCAATTTTCTTAACTTCATAGCCGCCTTTATTCTTCTCAACTAATTAAATTTAAAAAGTAACAATTCATTAATATCAAGTCAAAATAAGACTTGCAATTTGACCAATTAATACAAGTAAGATTATTAAATTGATCAAAGAAAATAAAGAAAAAAAAAGATGTGCAAAGAAGTGCAATAAATTAAAGCAGCAGCAATTGACCTCAATTCATATAGTATAATTTTTTATTGATTAATAGCAAATTTGGTCCCTGAATTAATTATTAGTTAATTCTATTTTTGTCCTAGTGATATTTTGTTAAACATATTTAACCTTAGATTTACTTGAAATATGCACTTCTGATCTTTACTTATGAATATTTACAAATTCTCAAAATTATTAACCATTTCGTCATGTAATTACTAAGTGCAGAGCTACATAGGGCCAAGAGGTTCATCCAAATCCCCTTCGACGAATATTATAGTATTTATATATGGTTATAATTATTTTTAAAGTATATATAGTAGACATTGAATTCCCTTTCATTTCCTTGTGTGTTTACAATTTCATACTTTGAACTCCATTAGTGAAAATTCTAATTTCGCCAATGATAATCACTCTTACGTTATGTTAAACTTTTTATTGTTACTTCATATCTAAGAGTAGTATACTTGTATAAATAGTCCAAATATAACGTCTTTCCCGTGAAATATCCACTAAGTGGGGTTTGAGAATGGTAGTGTGTACGCAAACCTTACCACTACCTCGTGAAGGTAAATCGGTTGTTCTAAAAAAAAAACCTTGGCTTATGCACATCAAACCCAAGTAAACGTCTTTCCTACATAAAAGGACCAACATTAAACATTTCGACTAGCTAAAGGTTAAATATGTCGAGTTCTATATCTACAAAGACCAAAATAGAATTTATTAATAATAGAGGGACCAAAAGTGATATTAATTGGACATGTCTTATGACATATTACTTCTAGTATGAAAACATGTTGCCATCCAAGAAATGAACATTTTTGAGTTTTTGGCCAAAAACATCCTTTAACTATATCTAAAACTTAATGTACATCCTTCAACTAATATATTGAACAAAAATCATCCTTAATGTATTCAAAACTTAGCAAGATTCGTCCTTCATGAAACTTCTGTTAAAAACATTAACAGACCCATCTATGTGCAAGTCACATGACTCTTACACCCCAAATATCAAGTTCCTCAAACCCATCACAAGCCATTTTCTTTGTTCTGCTAAAATTCTTAAAGCTATTCCAATTTGTTGATTCTAAATGAACAATAAAAGAAAGGAAAAAAACAACAAAGTTAGGACGACTCTTCTTCTGCAGAATGGTTGGACTGTGATTATATTGATTTGGGTATTGATTTTAGGAAGAAAGAAAGGTGTGAGACTAAATAAAAATAAGGCGCAATGAGATTTGTTGATGTTCTTGTGATCGGAAATTTTTAACAATAATTTAAGAATAAATTATTGGGTCTTGTGAAAATGAAGAGAGCAGTAAGAACAAATTCATGTCGAAGAAAATAGTCTTAAAAGATAAGAAATGCACGAAAAAGAAATAAATGAAAGGGATCTTTGAATTACATCCGTAAGAAAGTTACCACAAATAATTATGAAAAACAAAGCATGATAGCAACAAAAGAACAACCAATATTGACCTTCATTGTACAAAGCAACTTATATTACAATTTTTATTAAGCCGGCCGGAGAATTCTAAATTCTTTCCTACGAACTCTGCCGGTAAAAAATTAACTCAAAAAAGCTTCAGCTTTGAGAAGAAGAACATAATACAACCAGTGGACATATTTTAGGATGCTTGTAGTCATGTGACTTGCACATGAGATTGGGTCAGTTAATGTTTTTAACAGAAGTTTCACATAAGGATGAAAATTGCTAAGTTTTGAATATATTAAGGATGATTTTTGTTCAATATGATAGTTGAAGGATGTACATTAAGTTTTGAGTATAGATAAAGGATGTTTTTGGCCAAAAACTCAACATTTTTCAACCTAACACTTTATACTATACATTTTTTGTCCCATCAATTATTATACTATAAAGTTTTTTTATAACATCAAAAGTCACACCAGAAGAATTAGCATCAAAAATTTGAATCCATGAAATTTCTAGCTTTTTTATTCATTTACTTCAATTTTCTTTCAATTGTACTAGCATTAGACACCATAACTATTGATCAACCTATTAAAGATGGTGACACAATTGTTTCATCAGGTGGTGTTTATGAACTTGGATTTTTCAGGCCTGGAAATTCGACAAATCGATATGTTGGTATATGGTACAAGAAAATATCAACTGGAACCATTGTTTGGGTTGCTAATAGAAATAATCCGTTGAGTGATAGTTCAGGTGTGTTGATGATCAATCCTGATGGAATCTTAGTACTTGTTAATAGTACTAACGTGACGATTTGGTCAACGAATTCATCAACAATCTTGAAGAATCCAATAGCAAGATTGTTAGATTCAGGTAATACTTGTCATGTTTCGTTTCTGAAATATTGAGTTAATCTAATTTAATCTGATTTCGTAATCTTCTTCAAGGAAGAAAATGAAAATAGAATTGAGATTTTCACCTGGTAGAGTTTGGATTATCCAGGGGATACTCTGTTGCCTGGAATGAAGCTCAGTCCTGAAATACTTGTCATGTTTAGTTTCTCGAGAATTAAACTGAATGAACTTTGATCAACATTTTAACATGTTTTTTTTAAGGGAAAAGGTACAAGTACCCCCTAGACTATGACCGAAATTTTAGAGACACACCTTAACTAAACTAAGGTCCTATTACAAAAAAAAAATGAGTTCGGGGTAATAGGACCTTAGTATAATTAAGGTGTGTCTATGGAATTTCGGTCATAGTCTAGGGGTACTAGTGTCTTATCCCATTTTTTAACCATACTGATATGAGAAGAACTGCAATTTATAGTACTTTTCGTATAGTTATTACTGCTGTTGTTTCTTTTACTTTGGTTATTCTTGAAATTTGTACTGTGGATACTTTTTTGTTCAATATTTTCATCTTAACGTTGTATTATTGCTTTTCTTTCAAACCTTTTCTAAAAACGTTTTTCTTGAGCTGAGGGTCTATGGGAAACAAACTCTGTTTATGTTGTTGTTGTTGTTGTAGTAGTAGTACTTTTGAACTATTGTAATTTTAATTTGAAAATATTGAGTTAATCTAATGTAATCTGATATCAGGTAATCTTGCCATCAGGGAAGAAAATGAAAACAGGCCTGAGTTTTTCGCCTGGCAGAGTTTCGATTATCCAGGGGATACTCTGTTGCCTGGAATGAAGCTCGGGCGGAATTTGGTAACAGGCCTGGATTGGTACATATCGTCGTGGAAGAGTCCTGATGATCCTGCTATAGGTGAATTTGTTGACAGGATGGATGTTCAGGGGTATCCACAGTTATTTGTATGGAAAGGTTCATCAATTGCATTTAGTTCAGGTCCCTGGAATGGTTTAGCATTTAGTGCAAGTCCTAGTTTGCAACCGAATACGTATTTTACGTTCGGTTTTGTACTGAATCAGGAGGAAGTTTATTACAAATATGATCTTAAGAATCGATCACTGCTCGCCAGGGTGGTACTAACCTCTGGAGGATTGATAAATCACTATACCTGGATCGATCGTACGCAGAGTTGGTTCCTTTATTTGACAGCACAGTTTGATAACTGTGATCGTTTCGCGTTGTGTGGTCCTTATGCAAGATGTGTTATTAACAACTCGCCCCCGTGTGACTGTCTGAGGGGTTTCGAGCCAAAGTATCCACAGGAATGGGATGCAGCTGACTGGTCTAGTGGATGTGTTAGGAGGACTCCGTTGGTGTGTCAGCAAGATGGATTTAGGAAGTTTACGGGGATTAAAGTGCCTGATACGCGGAAATCATGGTTTAACGAGAGCATTGGACTTGAGGAATGCGGAAAGTTGTGCTTGGCTGATTGTAACTGTACAGCCTACTCAAATATGGATGTTCGAGATGGTGGAAGTGGATGCTTACTCTGGTTCGGAGACCTCATCGATATCAGAGAACTTAGTCCAAATCAGCAGGACCTGTTTGTGAGAGTGGCTGCTTCAGAAGTAGGTAATAACTACTTACTGTTTTTCGTTTCTCTAACTTGATCTTGTTGAACGTGGCGAAAAACATGTATGTAAAATTTCAGCAAGTATGTATCTAGATAGTCAAAAGTCTTGATAGTTAGCTCGTGGGGTCTTCAGTCAATAGAAAAAACATCTATGAATGTGTGTTGGTGCATTGTTCTCTCTCACTCAAAGATGGAACGTTGCCTGTTTCTTATGGCCTAAAATTTTTGTTGGGAACTCATGAATGTGAATCATATTGTTATGACAATGTTGGAATTTTCTGATTGATTATGTACTAACTTATCGACAGACAAGAAACGAAAGAAAAAGAAGTCAAGGCTGATTGCAATCGTATCAGCAGTAGCCGCGACTTGTATCCTCAGCCTTCTAGCTTGGTGTGCATTATTCCACAGAAGAAAAAAGAGTAAAGGTAAACAACTATTGTTCATCGTTATCAAAAGATCGTGTTGCTAACGTTCTATTTGTATCTGGCTAATGTATACATTTATACCAATTGATTGCTCATTTTACAGGTAGGGAAGTTGGAGCAGACGATATGGAGTTACCATTGTTCGATTTAGTAACTGTTGCTAACGCCACTAAGAACTTCTCTTCTGCTAATATTATTGGAGAAGGTGGCTTTGGACCTGTTTATAAGGTACAATAACTATCCCATCGTCGAATTTTAGCTTAAAAAAGGCATCTTTAACACTTTGTTTTGAAAAAAAATTCAGGGGCAACTACAAAATGGACCTGAGATAGCGGTGAAGAGGCTTTCGGAATACTCAGGACAAGGTCTTCAAGAGTTGAAAAATGAACTGATACTGATATCCAAACTACAACACAGGAATCTTGTCAAGCTTTTAGGTTGTTGCCTTGAAGGAGAAGAGAGGATGCTGATATATGAGTATATGCCAAACAATAGCTTGGACTATTTCATTTTTGGTCCGGTTCTCTCGACTAGTCACCTTTATACTATGCTGCTCGTATCCTCCAAAAATGATGTTGCACCAGTGTCGGATCCTCAAAAGATGCACTACTTCTGGAAGATCCAACATGGGCGCGGAGGCATTTTTGGAGGACTTGAGCAACCAACTAATAAATGAATGAATGAGGATTCACTGACATTTTACATATTGCAGATCCAAGCAGAAAAGAATCACTTTCTTGGAGAAATCGCTATGAAATCGCGATGGGAATATCTCGAGGCCTTCTCTATCTTCATCAGGACTCAAGATTAAGAATAATACACAGGGACCTGAAGGCCAGCAACATTTTGTTGGATACTGACTTGAATCCAAAGATTTCTGACTTTGGTCTAGCTAAGATATTTGGTGCAGACCAAATGGAAGGAAAAACAAAGCGAGTAATCGGAACATAGTAGGTCTTATAAACAACCTCTATGATAGATGTTTTTGTTTGTTGTTGATCAACTTAAATTTGATGCATTGTGCAGCGGATACATGTCTCCGGAGTATGCTGTCGATGGGAAATATTCAGTGAAATCTGATGTCTTCAGCCTTGGCGTGCTTTTACTCAAAATTGTCAGTGGCAGAAAGAACAGGAAGTTTCATCATTTGAGTCATCATCATAATCTTTTGGGACATGTAAGTACATATAGCACTAAATTTTTACCCTTTAGCCTCTTTTTTTACTAAACACTCGACCCCGTCTGAGCTTACTCACATCACCGGTCCCAAGCTCCCATAAAGGAAGAGGGTTGCAGCAAGGTAGCAGCCAGTATAAAACTAGTAAGTTCATGTTGAATCCTCACAATACAGTCGGAACTGAGGCGTTGTAGTAGCTGCTATAGCCTGTTTTCCATTAAAAAACTTGACCTGCCTGAGGTTACTCATATTACCGGTCCCAAACCCCCATAAAGGAAGAGGATTGCGGTAGCCTAGAAGCCATTATAAAACTAGTTGACGAATCCTCATAATACAGTTGGGGCCGAGGTGTTGTAGTAGTAGTTGTTATAGCTTCACATTTCCATTCCCAAGCCTCTATAAAGGGTCACAATAGGCTAGCAGCCAAGCATAAAACTAGTCAATTCATGACGAATCCTCATAATGCAGATGGGACTGAGGCGTTGTACTAGTCCACATAGCCTTTCTTTTACTAATGCAAATGTATAACTCATGATGACCGAGGCATTGTAGTAGTCACCGTTGTAGCCTCTTTTTACTAAATGCATTTGTATAACTGTGTTATCGTAAAAAATATTTCAGGCATGGTTACTATTGAATGAAGGCAAAGCATTGGAACTAATGGATGAATGTTTAAAAGACTCATATGTTGAATCACAAGTGTTGAGATGCATTCAAGTAAGTTTATTGTGTGTACAAAAACTCCCAGAAGACAGGCCTACAATGGCATCAGTAGTGTTCTGGTTGAGCAATGATGGTGTGGAATTGCCTCAACCAAAGCAGCCTGGTTTCTTTATAGAGAGGGATTCAACTAATCAATCAAATGAATCAACTGATGAAAGATGTGTTACTGACAATGAACTTTCACTAACAATTCTTGAGGCAAGATAGACAAATTATGAACTTGCAATCGTGTGACCAGGAGGTCAAGGGTTCAAGTCAATTCTTAAGATTTCACGCATAGCAGGAGCTTAGTACACCAAAATGTCTTTTTTTATTTAATCATTCTTTATATATTGTAATGTACATAAATGGCCTATTCTGAGGAGTTGGAACATATTGGGGCTCCTCTAGTTCATTCTTTACTCTAAAGTTCCTTTGGGACATTCGATAGAATTGAAACGATATAGAAAAGATTGAAATGGTCACCGCGCACAAGAATGACATGAACTAGTAGATAAGTTGATGTGTATATGAAAGATGAGGTTTCATCGATGCAATCTTAGGATTCAAAGTTCAATAAAGCCAAAAAAAAATGTTAGATACTTTTTAAATTCACTTAAATCATGGCAAAAGAAATTGAATGATGAACCTAAAAAATGGATCTCTTGTCCAATCCTTTTTTATTTTCTATCTGATATTTGGTATTTATTTTGGAAGCTAATCGAATTGATCGCATCAGATAAATCCCATTTTGGAGGTTACAAGCTCCCCACCAAAGGTGTCTCAATTTCCAAGATTTGGACCCAAGATCTCCAGTTTAGAATGAAACTATACCTACCACTTCGATATCCCAACATACGCTTTGAAACTCTAACATGTTACACCACGTAATTTTTTCAAAATTAAACACCAATTCAAAAACTTCCTCACAAAGTCATTACTATGGCCCATTATACGTCGAGGAACTTTCATAAATATCAAAGAGATTAAACTTAATAAGCCTCCTTAGGTACAATTTGTCTAATTACGCTCCATAGTTATAGTTTCGTTTGCTTGGGTATTTCTGTCAATGTACAAACACGGTAAGTATATACAAATTCTATATTTATACATTTAGGAATTTTTCAGAACTTATACAAATCAAATGTATCAACAAATCATATACAAACAAGATAAATAAATCGTATACAAATAGCTAGGGTAAGCATATACAAATTCTGAATATATAAAATTAGAAATCAAATTATACAAATTCTAAACGTGACCCACGTAAATATGATTATATGTTAGTGACGAAAAATAATTTATTAAACTATAGTATGTTATACAATTAACTAATATATGTTTGCTCGCCTAATTTAAGCCCAAAACTATAGCCTTGGATTTTTGGAACCCAGAGTTCATCTTCAACCTCTATCCGGGTCGTTTTGACCCGATTTCAGACCCGTCACGTTTCCGCCATTACAGACAGCTCCAAATACAGATCTGATAATCAAGATCTGCAACAATGTTATTTGACAATTTTATTGCAGATTCCAAGAAGCAACAAGGCAGAGATGAACTAAAAATGTAAGTAATTTACATTATTCGGAACATGTAATTACTACTATGAATTTTCTGCTTTCGTAGTTGTGATTTTGGGCATTTATTGCCCAAAACCCTAAATGTTTGGCGATGTTGGCGTCTAAAGTTGCTATATTGTTGGCTAAGCATATGACAATCAACCAAACAAAGCAAATCCATGCTGCAATACTTGTTAATGGTCTTTTGGATCTTGAGTCCTTGCTAGTTCAGCAGATAATCAACTCTGCAAGTAGTTACTCTTATTATACCTCACACTATATTAAACTAGTCCTCAATCATGTGCAAAATTTAGATGTCTTCTCGGTGGCGTCTACCATCCGATTCTATTCTAGGCATTGTCAGTTCAGGGAGGCTGTTAATTTATATGGAAAACTGCAGAGATGTGGACTTAGTCCGAGCACGTTTGCTGTATCGTCTGCTTTAAAGGCTTGTGCAAGGATTTTGTATAGGTCTGGTGGGATATCGATTCACGCACAAGTTTATAAGTATGGTTTTTGTAATGTTGTTTATGTGCAGACAGCTCTAGTAGATTTTTACTCGAAAGTAGGTAATATGGATTTTGCCCGAAGCATATTTAATGAGATGGTTGAGAAAAATATAGTATCGTGGAATTCAGTGCTAGGTGGATATGTAAAATCTGGTGACTTAACAATGGCACAAAGTGTTTTTGATGAGATGCCGGAGAAAGATGTTATTTCGTGGAACTCCATGGTTTATGGGTATGCGAGGATGGGGAATATAGAGCGGGCATATGCATTGTTTAGACAGATGCCAGAGAGAAGTTCTGCCTCTTGGAATGCAATGATTAGCGGATATGTAGATTGTGGGAAGATAGAGTTAGCACGTAGTTTCTTTGAGGCAATGGGCCAAAAGAACAATGTTTCATATATCATATTGATTTCAGCATACTCAAAAAGTGGAGATGTTGAATCTGCTGAGGAACTCTTTGGAAAATTACATAAGAAAGATCAACTAGTATATAATGCCATGATAGCTTGTTATGCTCAAAACAGCTGGGCAAAAGAGGCTCTGCAGCTGTTCAATGCAATGCTTCGATTAGATTTGCAACCTGATGAAATGACTTTGGCAAGTGCTATTTCAGCTTGTTCTCAGCTGGGAGATCTAAAGTTTGGTTCTTGGATCGAGTCGTTCATTCATGAAACTGGAATTCAAATGGATGACTTCTTGGCCACTAGTTTGATCGACCTTTATGCAAAATGTGGAAGTATTGATAAAGCTCACAAGCTGTTCCACGGCTTGAAAAAGAAAGATTTGGTAGCATATACTGCCATGATACTGGGATGTGGAATAAATGGTAGGGCTAAGGATGCCATCAAGTTGTTTGATGAGATGATGAATGCTGAAATTAACCCAAACATAGTCACAATCACTGGGATATTGACTGCCTACAGTCACATTGGAATGGTAGAAGAAGCATACCGTTGTTTTATTTCCTTACAGAAGTATGGTCTTGCTCCCTCAGTTGACCATTACGCTATAGTAGTTGACCTTTTAAGTAGGGCAGGGCGGTTAGAAGAAGCACATGGGTTGATTAAAAGCATGTCAATACAGCCTCATGCTGGTGTGTGGGGTGCATTGCTTCTTGGTTGCAGTTTGCATAACAATTTAGAGCTTGGAGAGATTGCAGCGACACGTTGTATTGAGTTAGAACCTGACAGTTCTGGATATCTTTCTCTTCTTGCAAATATTTATGCTTCTTCGGGAAGGTGGGATGATGCTGAGAGGTTGAGAAAAGGTGTTGAAGAAAAGGGATACAACAAATTGCCTGGTTGCAGTTGGATGGAAGAAGTAAAAGCTTAGGAGGTCTTCTTTGCTATGACATGATTCCAACTGTATTACTTTAGTGTAACTGAGCTCTGTCAACGTCATCCATGATAGGGAAGTATTGCGATGACTGGTTACAATGACTTCCCTTCCATCATTTTCTTCAATAGGAAATTACTTGATGAAGATGACCGTTAATTGGAGGTATGTTTCTGACTATATAGATCTTCAAACTTTGCATTCTTAATGTTCAAAAGTGAATCTCAGCTCAAAATTGCCGAGTTCAAAACGAGTGTGAAGTGTCTAGTGATCTTTGAACCTCATAGGTCTGCTTTACTGAATTTGATAGAACTCGCTGGTTTGACTTATCTTTGATTAGGTGGCTGAAATTCCAGTTCTTATCAAGAAGCTGTAGTTTTTTTTATTGATCGTTATTTACGAAGTCCTTTTCTAGCTTTAGGGAAATCTTATCACAGTAAATATGCATGAGGGCTCTACTTTTCTAGCTTTCTTGCATGCTGGTCTCTTCTTGTCTTCTTCCCTTTTCTTTTTTGGTGAATTTCATCTGTGACTTTGCTGCTGAAGTAAAATTTCGGGGGTTTGCTCTTCGATTTTCATTGAGTTGTGCTAACTTAGTGTTTGTTTTTCCTATTCAAACTAAAAATTTACTGACATCTCAGTTTTCTTGTAGTTTCTGGTTAGATTTTCTTTGTGCATGTCAATAATTTTGCTCATTTTCTGTTCTTTCTCCATCAAACGTTCTCTTCTTTGTAGTGTCAATTTTTGTAAGTGTCTCTGTGGTCATATATATTTGTGATTGCTCAAAAGAAGCCAATCAGTGAATAGATCGCCATTCATGCCAACAATATGATACTGCTGAATATATATGATAGAGTATTGTTTGAATGTATAAAATTTACATGATGTCATCTGAAGGACGCGTTGAATCAATGTAAGTTAGAATCTCCATGTCATATAATCTCGGGTGTGTGCTAAAAACTACAAGTGCTCAGTGTGATAGTTGTCAAGAGCACTGTCTTTGCTTGTTAAGACATGATTGTGATTCTTGACATTTTGATCCCCACTTACATTGTAGTTAAACCTCGGAGTTTCTTAGTTTCCCTTCTCGACCCACAACAACACTATACCTAGTATATTCTCCCAAGTGGGGTCTGAGGAGGATAGAGTGTATGCAGACCTTACCCCTACCTTGGAAGGTAGAGAGATTGTTTTCAATATACCGTTGGCTCCTTCTTGGTCCGCAGCCTCTTTTAATGTATGTCAACCCTTTACACCATTTACTTTCTTTCATGAGCTTTGGGAAATAAATCTTCTTGTGCAAGAGTTTGAAACTTTTTTGTTCTTATTACATGTATACACATTTGATCACCCTTCATCTACCTTGGAATGCCACTCTAATAGTAGTACTTAATTTTCTTAACTTCCAGTGGAAAATAGGTGAAATGAGACACTGTATTTTGTCTCAATTGCAACAACAAAATGATCATCGAGGCACCTCCAAAATTTATATATCACGCTAGTATCAGATGTCCACGAAACACAGTGGAGAAGAGTTTGAGTCTTTAGATGTCACTTGATATCAAGTTGATGTGTCTATATGCACTCTCAAAGTTGGAGTGCTTACTTGCCTGCTATTATAGCTGCAATTGTTGTTGCCGCTAAAGCACTTTTCTTGTTGTAGTGAGTTATCCGGTAAGGCAGTAGTAGATTAGCAGGTATCTTAAAAAATTAGTTGAGGCGCGTTTAAGATGACTGAGACATCACAATTATCTACTTAAACACAAGGTGATTTTCTTCATGTATAAAGTTACCCCTGGTCTCAACTTGATTAATCTTCACTCATGGAATAAGGCTGCTATTGCTAAACATTGTTGGGACCTAGAGCATAAACAAGATAAGCTATGGATTAAATGGGTGCACTCCTACTTTTCAAGAAGTGATCATTTCCCAACAAGCTTGTTGGATGGTAAAGAAAATTTTGGAGGCTAGACAAGATTATTCACAGTTTCAACCTACAGTCTTGCAGAGCAAAAGTATGATCAGGCAACTATACTTTCACGTGTTTCGGCCCCAACAGAGAGTTCAATGGAAGTGCTTGATGTTTCAAAACTTTGCCAGGCCAAAGGCAGTCGGCTACAGCTGCAAAACAGACTGAGCACCACTGATAGACTCAGAAAATGGGGACTAGATATTGAGTTGAAGTGTGTACTGTGCCAACTTCATATTGAATCCAGAGATCATATGTATACAAGTTGTCCTTACCGTCAACAGATTTGGAGCAAGTTATTACAATAGATCTGTGGGAATCATTGATGCTGCAAAAGGGAAAACTCCAGCTGCCCAAATCTTTACGTTGGTGTATACTGAGTATGTCTATGCGATTTGGATTGAGAGGAACCACAGAGTCTTTGAGAAGGAAAGCAGAACTTGGGAATCTGTAGCCAAAGAGATTGCTTATATTTGTTGTGTTAGGGCCAACCAGAAAACTATGCAAGCCATTCATCAGTTCGTTTTTTAGATTGCTAGCTTAGTTTTCCTTTGTTATCGTTGTCTCTGTTTTTATTAGAATAGTCAAGTTGGGTCATGACTTTGCTATTGGATATGTAATGGATACCATTAATACAATCTTGTTGGTTACCAAAAAAAAAAAAGTTACCCCGTACTTGTGTTACATTGGTGGAACTAAGCAAGTAGCTCATAAAATTAATCGAAGGCGTTCTAGTTGATCTAAATAATATTTTACTATATAGAGAAGTCTAGAAGCAGGTACCTCTCGATCGACCTGTCTATTGCTAGTCAAGGCATTTATGTAAGTTTTGTATTTTTTCGTTTTAATTTATTTATCTTATTTTTTAGTCTTTTGGAAATTACATAAAAGTTTGATAAATCACGATAATTAACAACTTAAAATATTTAAATTACATAAAAAAAAATTCAATCGACTCTCGAAATTCTAACGGTGTCGCATAAATTGGGGGAAAAATGTAACATATATATTATTTAAAATGATGTAAATCCCACTATAAATCACAATAACTAACAACCTGAGATGTAAGGAAAATATATAAAAGTTTGGTTGACTTTCGAAATTCCATATGTGTCATAAAAATTAGGTTAGGACTAAGGAGTAATATAAATTATTTGAAAATTATGTAAAAGAAAGTATTATAAATCACAATAATTAACAATTAACAATATTTAAAAATCATATAAAGATTTGGATGATTCTCTGAATTCTAGTTGTGTTACATAAATTGAAATTAAAAAAATAACATATATTGAATCCGTGCTAGCACGAATTCCCATATCTAGTATAGCTATAATCAAGTATATTAATTGCCTTTAAATATTTAGAAATGATTTGACTATACAAATATTATTTATACCGTCAATGAATATATTTAAAATCTAACTATTGGTTGCAACATGAGTTGTCCTAGAATGTGCTTGTTGATTCATGATTACTAGGAATTCCAACTTTACGTTCCCGAGTTACAACTCGAATTGAGACAATCTTTCCAAATTTGCCCCCACCATACTGTCAAGGACCCATATAACTTCTACCACAGTCCACAAACATCTTTATCATTTGAAACAGAAAAAGGAAAAAAAAAAAAAAATTCAGCACAAACCAGTCACTCAAAAACTAGTAGTAATATTTTAGGCATCATACGTAAATATATTTTTTAACTTGACTTAACTTAAATATATACATTTAAACTTTGAGTGTGCATAAATAAAGACTTAATTTGTACAAAATTGAATAAATAGACACACACGTCCAACGTGACATAACATACATAGATTGCCGCATAGGGCACAAAATTGTCATGTATGATGTCATATAGGACGATGTGTCTATTTATTTAATTTTATACAAATTTTAATGTTTATATATGCATAACTATCAGTTTAAACTAAATTAAATGGCATATTCATATATTATGCCTACATTTTATTATCATACAAATTTTTCAAATGATTTATGATTCTTGAGGCGATATCTTAAAGCAACGTTAAGAGTTGTGGTGGTTGTGTGACAAGGAAAAAAATTCTAACTAACCTTTCATATAGACTTTCTTTTTTACTCACACTCGATATTTATGTCAAACATTACGTACTCTACAAATGTCTTTTATATACAATTTTATAACTTAACCATGATTAATTAATATATTGTTATATCTTAACCTATCATTTAACCCTAGTAAATTAATCATGGAGGAAGCCTCAATGAACTTCAACTTTTAAATGATGAAAGTTAGACCCTACTAATGGAATGTATGAACCTAGAAAATGTATTTCTTGTTCAATCGTTTTCTATGTTTTTATCTGATGTTGATATCTATTTTGGTATTTACCTAATTGGACTTAAAAAGGTAACGTACTCCCTATTAAATGATCAATCATACTAGACAAGCCCTATTTAAGAATAAAACATAACGTATCAAAAATAATTATTCTTTTGAAAACTCAAACTCGAAACGTTTAATTAATGGGTGGTTTATGATGATGTCTTGTCACATCCTTTTTTCAAAGTTTGTCCCAGGGAATCTTCAGTGTTTATCTGTTGAAAACAAAAAAAAAAATCATTTTATTCATTGTCCCAATTCCGAAAGTGTCACAAGTTACATTCCCAATTTATGTGAGTTAAAATTTCAGTTAGTTTATGGTTACTTTTGTTCAATAGAATATATTTTTATTAATTCTATCAGTTATGTTGGGAGAAAAGCTCTAATCAATGAAGTGAGTTAAGAAAAATTAGTTGAGGTGGTATTTATGAAATTAGTTGTGTGTAAATGTTGATCGCAATAAAAAAAAATATATACTTAGTGAAAAGTTGATCCTCCTCTAGGTAATTAAACAACTCAACCTTCAACTAACTGCACAAATATCTAGTTTTATAGAAAGACCACGAATTCTAGTTACCTTCAACCAAGTCCAAGTGCTACTAAGAAATATGAATTGAGTCTGTAAATTTGTCCTTTTTTTTAACTTTTTCATCATAATTATCTTTTAGAAAAGGGGTTTTTTGGAGCAATGGTATGAGTAGCAGTCGTGTGATTAGAAGATTAAAAATTTAAAATTATGGAAACAGTCTTTTGTAGAAATGCAAAGTAATACTAGGTGCATTCGACTTAATATGATTCGGTGTTACGTTCGATTCTATTTTGGATTATGTGCATAGTAAGAGCTTAGTGTATTAAATTGTTTTTTTTTTCTTTTTAATCATTTTTTAGAGGCGATGTCTTGGAGAAACAGAGTTGCAGTCGTGTGCCAAGGAAAAAAAAATTCTACCTACCTTTCATATGGAAATAAATTTACTCACTTACAAGACAAGTATATTTTATATACAATTTTATGACTCAATCATGATTAATTAATATGTAATTATAGCTTAACTTATCATTTAACTCTTGTAAAGTAATGTGATGTAAATATCGATACGAATAAATATTTTTCAATCTTTCAAAATTTAAAATATTTAAAACTCAGAAGAGACAAAAATCACGGAATAATTTTTGTCATCCACTTATACAAGGAGCAAGCACATGTTTTTTTATTTAGAAAAATGAATCATGGAGGAAGCCTCAATGAAACTTCCATTTATGACTAAGGAAATTCTGACCCTGATGTGGTACCCTATCTCTTATTCAATCGTTTTCTGGTTCCTATCTGGTGATCGGTATTCATTTTGAAGTTTGACTGATTCAATTTAATTAATTGTACCAAATAATTAAGTTTCACCTTAAAAGTAATGTACTCCTTACCAAAGGATCAATTGTACGAAATAAGTCTAATTTTAAAGCACTGCATATTAAAAACGATTTTTTTCTCAATACTCAAACTCGAAACGTTTAATTACACTATAGTGATTAATAATGATGTCTTGTCCAATCCATTTTTTAGAAGTTTGTGCTAGGGAATCTTTACTATTTTAGATATTCCATTTACTTGTCCTTTCAAAACAAAAAAAAGGCAAAAAAGATCACATCGTCATGTCACAGGTAGTCTCTTCGGAGACATTCGATAAAATTAAAACGATACAGAAAAAACTAATTATGTTTATTTTACTCCGTGTCCCTAAGTGTCACAAGTAGTCTTTTAAGAGATATCGACATGAATAATATGCACAAATCGAAAAATGATCCTACGTGTTACAAGTTGCCTTCTAATTTGTGAGTTCATATTTCAGTTAGTTTCATGGTCACTTTGTTCAATTGAAGACACCATGAATCTACTTAAACACGATGTAATTAATTTTTTCTTATTTATCCAAGTCTCGCCGGATAGAGTTATCTCATATTTATGTTAGTGGGAGGAACCAGATGCATGCCTTGTGAAATTAGTTGAGTTGTGTGCGTGCGTACAAGCTGATCAAGACATTATAGTTATCAACTATATTAATTGTCTTTAACTACTTAACGAATTAACCTGATTAATTACATAAATAATTTTTGTATAGTCAACCAATCAAAAAAAAATTACACTATTTAACTAAGCAAAATTTTTAATTTATGTATGTATACTACAGATTAACTCTCATTATTTTATTTGTCTACTGTTTTTATATTGTGACAATTCTTTATAAAAAAAATTCTAATTCTGTCATTACTATCAATGCATGTATATGTTGATCCATGATTTCTAAGATTTCAACTTTATATCGATGCAAAATAATTCAAATCACAATAATATAATCTTTTCAGATTCGTTCTGCTTCCATTATAAGTGAGGGACCAATATAATTTTGTCCACAAACATCTTTAACATTTTGAATTAATAGAAAAAAACAAGACAAGAAAAGAATGTTTCTGTACAAAATACTCACTAAAAATTAAAAAACAACTATTTTTCTTTTATCACAAGACAATTTTTGTTTCAAATGATTTATGATTCCTCTAATTTCCATGTAACTTCCAGGAAGGTGAACTTTTACCAATTATAACCAACAAAATATAACATATATAATTATATATATAAATATAATTATCATATTCCCCTACTATTATCCTGAGGTTGGTAACAACAAATTTAATCATTCACAATATATAGTATATTTTCCACATTCTCTTACGCTGCGCAAAGGACTACTTTTACATTGGCTCTCATATTTATCGAGGTGATTGCAACACCTTTAATTAAAAAGGTTCAATTGAAGCTTTTGCAGTATAGTAAAAGGTGTTAGGTTGCATAGCTTTCTTTTCTTTTTTTTTTTTTTTTGTAGAAAGCTCGACCAGTTCAAATTTCAAGTTTGGCATAAGGGAAGCTTTTATTGCAGAGGTAAAAGGTGACATTCTTTCATTATTTTACCTTCTTTTGTCAGAATTTTCAACTCTACTCAAATCGTATTAAGTGTGCGTTCTTGCATTATTTTAACTTCCTTTGTAAAAAATTTCAACTCTACTCAAATCGTATTAAGTGTGTGTTCTTGCATTATTTTAACTTCCTTTATCAGAATTTTCAACTTTACTCAAATCGTATAAAGTGTAGCGTTCTTGCATTATTTTAACTTTCTTTGTTAGAATTTTCAACTTTACTCAAATCTTATTAAGTGTAGCGTTCTTGCATTATTTTAACTTCCTTTGTCAGAATTTTCAACTTTACTCAAATCTTATTAAGTGTAGCGTTCTTGCATTATTTTAACTTTCCTTGTTAGAATTTTTAACTCTGCTCAAATTGTATTAAGTGTAGCGTTCTTGCATTATTTTAACTTTCTTTGTCAGAATTTTCAACTTTACTCAAATCTTATTAAGTGTAGCGTTCTTGCATTATTTTAACTTCCCTTGTTAGAATTTTTAACTCTGCTCAAATCGTATTAAGTGTAGCGTTCTTGCATTATTTTAACTTCCTTTGTCAGAATTTTCAATTTTACTCAAATCTTATTTAAGTGTGACGTTCTTGCATTATTTTTACTTCCCTTGTCATAAATTTTTAACTCTGCTCAAATCTTATTTAGTGTGACGTTCTTGCATTATTTCAGCTTCCCTTGTCAGAATACCTAATTTTGCCAAGCATGACATTCTTATGTAATTTCAACTCATTCTCTTGTCAGAATTTCTAACTCCACCAACAATGATCTCGTGCATGGACGCGGTTGATTATGAGGACCCTTTTGGTTTTGAAGATTATTTTCCTTCAATGATTGACACATTGGGGGTTGAAAGGTTCATGGAAGAACTATACAATGGTTTTTGCTTGCTAATGGATGTAAGTATAGGGCTCATCACATTTGAAAGCTTGAAAAGGAACACATTATTGATGGGATTGAGTGAATTGAAAGATGATGAACTTCTTTGCATGTTGATTGAAGGAGATTTGGATGGAGATGGAGCTCTCAATCACATGGAGTTTTGTTCACTCATGTTTAGATTGAGTCCTGGATTAATGATGGATGGATTCAAATCGAACAACTTACAAGTTATTTCCTAAGCTGATTTTCCTTTCATTTTGGATGCATGGTTGGTTTAAACTAAATGAAAGAAAGGTTGAACTCATGAGGAGAGAAATAATGTGAAAATAGTGAAGTTGTGGAGTTCTTCCTTGCCTATGTTCAATACTTTCGTTTTAGAAGTCAGGTTGGATTTTTAAGAATTGTATAACATGACTAGGGACTTATGATGACTTATTGATTTATAATGCTAATTCCTAGCTATGTTTTTTCTTATTTTATTTTTTCTACTAGTAAATAAGGAGCATGTACTAATTGCTCCGCCTTGTATCGAGTGATTTTTAAGTGTGCAATGATATGTGGAAATTCTTTTTAATAATAAGTATCGCTTTAAATTTGAAGTTCTGATCAATATATATTCTTATTTACTTAATTATGATTAGATATTCCTTTGTATGTCAAGACTTGCAAATTGCATAATATGGAGTCCAAGTGTCCAACAATTAGGTAAACTTATATAAAAATTAAATGACACAATAAACTAAGGCCTTATATTTTCCTTAAATAGTGGTAGTTTTAAAATTTTATATAATATAGTGATAATTTGGGGTTTTATAACAGATATTTGTGAATATACTTATTATTTGTATGGATATAGTTAGGAAGAGATATACTTATTACATGTGCCCTGCTCTTCTTAAAAAGTGGGAAAAAAATTGCTACTAGTGAGATTCGAACAAACGAACACATTAATTTTGTGTGTCTTTGCACTTTCAAGGCGCCTAAAATCACTAGGCTACATCATATTGTTGTGTCAAGGGTATCCAAAATATATTATTTAGCCACTTTGTTTATCATTTTACTTGTATATACGGTATAATTTTCCGACGAATAAAGGTGGCTAACGCCACTATACATGCGCTTATACAATGTCTATCACTATTGTTGTGTGCGTGGATATAATGTATTTCACGATTATTATGAGCACAAATACTGTGTATTCTGCTACATTTTAAAATTAAAATACTAATATGTTTCATAATTAACCAAAATCTCACTATTTTCATAATTTTGACCACAAATAGCTCTATTTAAGGAATTTTCTAAAAAAAAATAAAAATCAATTTCACATCCTACAACTGATGGGGGGACTTAACACAAAATATCATATGATTATTTATTTTAAAAAAAGGTAAAGAGGCGGTTATTAAAAAAAACATATGTTAATTTGTAACTAAATAGTCCACAAGTAATAAGATTTTTTCTATAATTCAACGCTAATTCATGGCAACAAATATATATTTTTTAAATCACAATTTTAGTTGAGGAAACTTCGTATGCCTTTTAATAAAAATAATTGTCGTACTACTTATGTGATGTGAATTGCTCATATATGTCCTTTACCAAAAACCTAAATTAGTATTTTATAATTTTAAAGTTGGAATCCAAAGCATATTATCATATCATAAAATAAAGAAGGCATGCATTGATTGATGACAATCGACAAAACCAACACTATTGTTTTTTGACTTTTTTTTTATTCGATGTTTGATAGCTACATTAAAATTTGACTGAATTTGAATTTGCATATTGCACGGCTCATCTATGAGAACGATCACTCCTAAAAAGATTTCTTTCTATTCTCAAGAACTTCAATTTAGAGCAGAGAAATCTCAATCATTTCACGAAGAGCTATGTTGATTACGCTATTTTATTTTATTTTTGAAAACGTTGATTTTTCACCAGATGTTTAAACACGTATAATCATGAACAAAAAAAAAATATGAATATTATAATACATCATCTGTCTCAATTTATGTGACACTTTTTTGGATTTTGAGACTCAAACAAGTCTAACTTTGACCGTAATTTTTTTATATATCTTTTAATTATTTTGAATTGTCAATTATACATATATAAATAAAATTCCTTACAGGAAAATTAAAGAAAATACCTTAACCCGCCCCGCCTCCACACAAAATTAAATATTTTAATTTAGATCCGTCCCGCACCCGTACCACACCCGCATATTTAAAAACCCGCCCTGCCCCGTATGTGACCAAATGTGTCCTGCCCATTGTCATACCTACTAAAGCAATTGCTTAGGGCCCAAATTTTTTAGGGACCCTAAATTTTTCTAAGGATACATAATGGTAACTGTTTGAAAATATATATTTTATTTTCTAAATTATGCATTGATAAATTTGAAAAGAATTTTTTGTGTGGAAAATATAATAGTAACGGTTTACTTTATAATTTAATATGGAGGTTGCTGAAATAATTGAGAAATGATATAGTGTTAAATTAATTGTAGCATTCTTTTTTAGGTGACTATCTATTTTGTTGACTTATTTATTTCTTGACGATTTTCATGAACCCACATTATTATTCTTAGATTTATCGTTTTTATTTTCATTTCTATTTTTATTCTCTCGTTATTGAACATTCTAAAGTCTACCAAGCGGTAAAACCTTTTACATTATGCAAAATCTACTGTTGTGTGTTGTTTATATCGTTATATCAACTTATCAAATTCAGAGCAACTATTTCAATATCATTATATATACTTTTAAAATTTTTGAGTTTGGTTTTATATTCTAACTTTATATTATATTTTTTCATTGAAATTTTCATTGTTTATATTCTTACTTTGTAAAGTACTCAACGTACATCCTATCTTTTCGAGACTTCACTTGTAGAATTACATTGAGTATGTTATAGCTATTCAATTTATATATGACAACTAAAAATAATAAGATCTCGTTATGAAATTTAGCCTTAGAACTCCAAACTTGTTGAGACGACCCGGTATATATTTGATTATGGATTATAAATATATAACAAGCTACTAACTATTAGGCAAACCGTTTTAATTCATTATTTCAAATTTGAATTTATAAATCAAAATGGAAGAATATCATATGGTTTAAATCTTTATGACCTTTAAAATTTTTATTCGATGTTCTGTTTGTTTCATAAATTTAACCAACTATATTTTAAAATGTAAAATTTGATATGAAAAGAATTACAAATTATACTACTGTAAACTTTAATTATTTTTTTAAAGAAAAAACTAATATAACCGTATTTAGCTCTGCCCTACAAATTTATTCTGATAAAGAAAATCACTTTTGCATACAAATATTGTTTTTCAACTTCAAAATTCTATTCAGTTCAAATTTTGAATATGAAATATCATTGTTACAAAGTATTTTACTTTTTAATTTAGGATTTTTTTTTATATAAATTTAAGTTTAATTGAATTATAATATAAATATAGTATATAAATAGGGTAACCAAAAAAAATATTCCAAAATTCTAAATAGAATGTTTGACTAGTCAAAATTCGTCTTCCAAATTCCACAAATTGACTAATTATATGCCACGAGAATTCTTTTTTGTGGAAACCGTGTATTACCATTCATTTTTTCTTCCCCCTTTTAAACTCTTATTGATCGAAAAAATGTGTTAAATTTAAATCCTAAAATCATCAAGAAATATGATAGAACGAATGAGATTCTTTTAACTTTTAACATGTTGCCTCAGCTTGAGACCTGAAAATAAAAAACTTAATGATAGAGAGCACTTCACCCTGGTGACAATCTGAATGAGCCTCAATCACCTAGGGATGTGATGGGATGCATAAGACTCTTTCATCGTTAACCCTTTGTTATCGATTCGAGATTTGTTAACAAAGAAATTCATTCTTCGTAGCTAGGGAGCACTTCTTTCTTGTGACACATTAAATTTGAATATGATTGAGTCCTTAAAGACCACCGAGGAATGTGGTGGATGGATGAGATCCTTCCATTCTCAACCTAAGCTCTCAGTTCAATGCTCGATAATAGAGAAATTCTTTTGGGGGGGAGGGGTGATCGATTCCCCTAACGCGACACGATTAAATAAGAAGAAGAAAAATATAAACACAATAGGAAGTTCCAAGAATCAAGAAAAAATAAGAAGCATGAAAAGGAAAATGTATAATTCTATTTGTGTATGTTTCTTGTAGTCAAATGATCGATCGTAGAGAAACAAGATTTTGCATAATAAAGACAACTCCGTACTCGTTCCAGACCTCACTTCTGAAATTACACTAAATACGTAGCTGTGACTAATCACACAACTCATTTGTTCGAAGCACCTTCATTGGTCTCAAGAACCCTATGGATGAAGATGTTCCCTTGTTCTCTTCAACAAACTCGACGAACATGCCTCTTCATCCTGCATCGTAATTAACCGTAATGTAAGAAAAACTCACAATACAGAGATGGATCCAACATATAAACTGTAAATGCACATGCATGTATTAATATCTTAGACTAGGGGTGACAAATGAACGAATTGAAGTGAAACTTAAATGTCAACATGAGTCAACTAAAACATCGATTCTTGATCCGAGTTCACCTAGAATTTGCTTGGATCAAAATGAGTTCAATATGGATCCCAAATCACTTCCCTTTTCTATTTAGTATTTTTGAAGGGAAAAAATGTTAATGTCAATGTATTCCACTCGAAAGTCTATCAGAAACAACCTCTCTAACCAATAGATATAGAAATAAGATTTGCGTACATTTTACTATTCTCAAACCTCACTTGTGAGACTAAACTTTCTATGTTGTTGTTGTCAATGTTTTTAGCTTAAGTTCTTCTCTCAAGTACGAAGCTACATGTCTACTAACAGATTCGACAAAACTCAATAACATAACCTTTTGTCATAGACTTTGTATTTTAAAATCAACTTAATTTATTAAAAATCCCGTAAATTATAACTTAAGCTTTTGTCATCGACTTCGTATTTTAAAATCAACTTAATTGTTCCAAATAATTTAAAACCAAAAAAAAAAAATCAACTTAATTTTTTAAATATCCCGTAAATTATAATTTATAAACTCAAAATTTTAGCTCCGTATCCAAATTTGATAATTACCTCAAAATGTAGGCAATCACTTTCCCTTACTCGCTTCCACGGAGATGAATTAACAGCCGCCCTAGCGCCGCCACCACAATCTCCGGCAGCTGATAAATCTCCATAACTGCCGGAAGAACTCACCGAACGCACCGGCGACGGTGGAGAGAAATTACTCGACGGAGAAGAAGATAAAGGAACAACTTGATTCCCATCCTCTTCATCTTCATCTTCATCTTCATCGTCGTCATCGATTTCACTCTCAGTACTCCCGTATTCATCTTCATCTTCGTCATTATCCGTTTCCGTTTGATAATTTTCTTCAATTCTTTCCCCAATTTCTTCAATTGGATCTTGTAATCGAACGGCGGCGGCGGTAGGGTTTTCGAGGCAGGAATTGCAGACAGAGAAAGTAGGAGAAAGCTTTGGACCAGAAGCAGTCCATGGAGTTGAATTTTGACATGAATGACA